TCTTGGCCTTGTGAAATAGTTTTCAACTGAACTGGAAGTGAGCAGTTGAGAAGTAAATGCCTCAAGAAGAACTAAAAGATATTTGTTGCATGCTGCAGCGTGATGGTTATGTTCATCTTAAAAACTGTATCAACATGAATGATATTAATTTAGCTGTACGTGCAATTAACTTTGAACTTGGAAAAGGAATTAGTAAAGAGGATATCGAAAAAATGAGAATCAATGCGATTTCGTTCGGTGCAGAGCAACTACGTCGTTCAAAAACTATTACAAATTTATTGCATAATACATGTGTTATCAAACTAGTTGAACAACTATATGGCTCAGAAAACATACATTTACCAGAATATTATGTACAAATTGCTCTGAGATTTCCACAAGTATGTTTAATTAAAGAAGCAAAATGCATTGTTCAATATTGTTGTCTTTTCTTCTGTGAATTAAGGATGTTGATAATGACACCGTTTCTTATCTTCCATGGCACTTAGATAATGTTCAACCAGGCGGTATGAAAGGTTTTGGTTTGACTGTTGGAATTTTCTTGAACGATACACCTAAGCCCAATTCTGGTAACTTTACTGTGTTTCCCGGTTCGCATATTTTACTGGAAAAACACTTTCAAAATGTTACGTCTTCGACAGCCTTGTACAGACACAAATATGGGAAAATAATTTTACCTGACGTTGATGTAGGTGATCAACACCAAATCCTGGCAAACGCTGGTGATATAGTTTTGTGTCATCATCAGTTGCCTCACCGTGCAGCACCTAATCTTTCGCCTCACATTAGAATGGCAGTCTTTTTTCGAATTTATCATAAACATTTGCCTTTTGAACATCCGGTTGACTGCAAGCTTAGGTATCTCGCTATCACAAACTTATGGAGTATAGGGTGGACAGGCATGAAAGAAATTCAAAGGTGCATGTTCTGTTTTCCTTTAGTTATTCGTTTCATATTTTGCTCTCCACTTGTTTAGTGACAGTAATGTCTTGGTCGATGTCGATGTTCCAGCTGTGTGCGATTGCGCGGAAAAGTCTACCAGAGCAGGTTCGAACGGTTTGTACCAGAAATTTTCCCTTATAAAACTAACTCACTTTCGTGTTTTTTGTCAGACATTGATATGATTATGAGGAATTCTTTGTTGTCAATTTCTTGGATACAAGGTAGTAAATGTTCTGGCACATTTCAGTTTTGGAAATCAACCAGATCTTTTGTTATCGATGCGATTAATCGAAGCGGAACGATTCTCGATATTGGTTGTGCGAACGGGTTTTTTCTAGCTTGTCTAGGCCAATGGCTACAAGAAAAATCCTTGACACTCACTCCTTACGGTATTGAATGTGATCCTTCCGTATTTCAATGTAAACGTTTGTTTCCTCAACTCTATGATGACGGTCATTTTATCCAAATCGATCTGGCAACTTTTCTGTCCTCTCCTGCAAACGAAGCTCCAAGATTTCCTTCCATGTTTGATTTTATCTATTGGAACGTATGGGTAGACGGCTGTGATTTAGAAGAAGAAGTTCAGCAACTTTGGCTATATAAGCTTTGTAGCATGGTTTCTTTTGGAGGTAGATTATTGCTGGCATTATACGGAACTCAAGAACAGAACGATAGAAAAGTTAAAAAAATTAAGGAGATTATCTTTAAAAATTTCTCGTCAGTTGACGAGTCACATATTCTCATTTTAAAATGTCAGAATTTCCCACACACTTTACTTTTAATTAATGTTCATGCATAAACTCGTCTGTTATAAACAACTACACAAATGCTAACCCGGACACTATCATTAATCGGTTCAAATTCATTAGATAAGAATGTAATCCTTCGTATATTATTCATGTCATAAATAGAGAAAATATATATCGATTGAATTGATAACGAATACAGATTAACCAATCATTATAAAACTGCATGCATCATACACCTGCGATCAAACTAGTTGAACAACTATATGGCTCAGAAAACCTATATTTACCAGAATATTGGGTCGAAATAATGTACCCCGAAACTATCCCACGTCTTGCAGAAAGTTTATATGTGCACAAGATCTGCTAAGTTTCTTGATCTCCAAGAATGTTGAACAATTCTTGTCAAGTTTTTTTGAGGAATCTGCCTGCAAAAATCTTGATCAAGACCTTGACAAGATTTGAAAACTGTTCTCCAATTAACAAAATCTTTGCTAATAAAGAAAATTAACAATCATTTTGATTACGACATGACTCACAGGTTCGACAAAAATGATAACTTTGCATTTATTTATAGTTATTGTAGCACTACAGTGTAGAGGACTTCTACACTGTCAGGTGTCTAGTTTAAAATAAAACAAATCCGAACTCTCTAGCTTGAAGTATATTAAAAAATCTTGGGAAATACTTCAGGTGTAACTCCCATGTAGAGGAAACGCTGTATAAAATGCTCAATTTTAGGACTTGTAGGAAAATGTCTGTAACTTTTTGACTCAAGGTCATACAGAGTTGTGCGAAGTCTTATTTTGATCAGAAGAGTTTGCTCTACAATATACGCGTTCAGAAAAAATTTAGTTGCGTAAGTATCCAGGAAAAAACTGTTATTTGAAGACCCGGTTTTTCGGGACTCCTAGAAAACTTGCTCGAAAGCCGCGAGAGATCATTTCTATAAGCGAAAGTGGTATAGATTCTGAAAGTAGACACTTCAGACTATCTTTCCATGTGCTTATCTCAAAATGGATGTTTTTGTCCGAGAATCATCATTTCTGAGGGGGGCTCTTAATGGTGTTCTTTTTCAAAAGAGTCAATGTGATTTAAAACTGTCTGATAGACAGGTTTTGTAGAGGATTGAACGCTCTTCCCAATCGTCTTCTCCGCATTCAAAAGCATTTGTCTCTAGGTAACAGAAAGAAGCCCTAAACCCGCTCATTTTCTCGTTTCCGTCTGTTACGAAATCAGCGTATTTTGTTTTTCTCCCTTAAACTGTTTGACTTTCGATTGATCAGATCAGACAGACTTCTAGTACTCTTAAAGAGCTATCTAATGGGGGTATTTTCATTTAAAAAAATAGTCAAGTTTAAGGTAGAAAAGTGCGTAACAGACGGAATTGGAACCAGTTCTGAAAACTCGATTTTGCCAAACCTTGGTTCGGGATAGACCGGGAAGTCCAGTTAGGTGTTCGGTAAAATGGAAAAAGAAGTTTCATCATGAATTCAACCTTTCGGAAGCAGAAATGAAGCTTTGTTTCGACGCGGGCAAAAATTCTGCTAAAAAAATACTTAGCTAGTCTGGCCATGTAACGATCCACCGAGTTGCGGTAGTATGAAGTTTGAAACGGAGGAACTATAACTTTGTCCCATGAAAGAGCGCGGCCGATATTATATAAAACCATTCCTATATCAGCCTTTCAGTGGTAGCTTAGGTTGAAAAAGGCGTTCGGATTACAGTTGACCAACAAAAAGATTAATGGTATAATTCACTGAATATCTTTTACATGCGGTTATTAGGCATCTACAACAATTGGAAACCGTCTTACTAGACGACTGCGTAAAGAAATGAAGGCTCTTTCCTACCGTGCCCCTAATTTTCTAAGCACTTGTCTATATCCATTGAAGATTATGTTAAAAACTTGCATATTGCCTCGTTTCCGCTTGTTACGAAGTCTGCGTATTTGTTTTTCTCCCTCTGATTATTTGACTTTCGCTAATCAGGTCAGATAGCGTTTCAGTACGTTCAACGAGCTATCGTACGGTGGCATTTTCGTTAATAAAAGCGCTAAGTTCGAGGTGGAAAAGTGTGTAGCTGATGGATTTTTTGTATGATCGTGAAAAGCAGTCTTTTACATCTCAATATAGAATAGAGTGGAAATGCCAAAGAAGCTTTTTTAAAATAAATTTTCAAAGAGTTCAGCGCGATTGCTAGGTCAAACATTGCAGCAATAGCTGTAGAAGAAATCCTAGAAAGCGAGATTGAAGGAGCAGAAGATGAGCTGCAAGCCATGTACATCCACATAAAGACTGCACTTAACTTTTAAAAACCGTATACACTGGCCGTTTGCGATGGTAGCCTGATCGAATGCACGCGCCACTTCAATGGTGAGGGTGAGGGTGAGGGTGACCCTCACCCTCACCCATAAAGTTCATTATTTCATTTGAGTAAACGAGCACAAATCTGTATTTTGTCTTTATTCCATGATTTTCATATAAATATATCAAGATAAAAAGAAGGTGGATTGTCGGGCATAGTCCACCTTGTACTCTTCAGTCCGCAACAGTCACGAATCCTTAAATGCGAAAAGTCACGTTTTTTAAAAATACATGACAATGCTCATGGCTATACGGTGGTGTCATACTATTAATAGTGAAGAATACGTACTAGGCTTACATTATAACAGTGCCTATGCATAGAAAATGTGCTTTTTTTAGAATTATATATGCGAAAACGAAGTAAAATAAACAGCCACAAAAACGAGGGAAAACAATTTCCGTTTGTTACGAAATTTTCCGTCCGTTACTACGACCTTTTTTACTCCATATCATGCTAACAGCAGATATTTTTAAAACCAATTATACCGTTTGATAGCCTGAGTTTTTCTCCACATTTTCTATGTGGCCCGCTATTTTGTCACACATCTACTTTCAGAGCAAATAATAAGTTTCTACAAGCCTTGCAAATTCATTTCCACTTTTCCGCCTGTTACGACATGCACTATTCCGATCACTGCTGAGCGGGTTCGTGATCGAATGAGTTGAATTTTTTACCAAGAACAGAACTCACGGTAAATCATGTTAAAATTTCAGCTCTGTAGCCTTTGTTTTCATCGAGATAGTCAACTCCGAGTATGTCGAATTTTCCGTCCGTTACGCTTGACCAGACCGGGTAACGCTCGTCTGCACTCGCTGGGTCCCTTGACTTTATGAATTTATATCTGCGACATCATCCATGACTTTGAATCAAGACAACGCTCCAACCTCCCTTCGGTCGGTGTTCGCTAGAGGACTATCCAAAATATGTTATCTCGTTTTCTCCGATTTGATGTGTAAACTTCGTAATCTAATATAAACCTACAAAGCTTTCTCGAGATCCTCCAAGATCCCTAGAGAATTAAAAATATTTCTTGATTCAAGACAATAACCACAAAAAAGGGTATTTTTTTCTTATTTCCAATTATCGTCCGATTTCTTTATTGTGGGTACTTATTAAAATATTCGAAAAGATTGTCCATAAACATGATTAACCCTTCCTTTTCGACAACGATCTTTTATGTAAAACCCAATTTGACTTCAGATCATCTAGTTCAACTATAGCTGCTTTGCTGAATGTCACACATTTTCGTTACGATAATCTGAATAAAAAAGGCTACTGTGTTGGTTCCACGTTTGATTTATGTAAGGCCTTTGATAAGGTTCCTCCTGCTGTTCTTCCAAACTAACTAAAATGTATCAACAACGAACATGACTTATTAAACTGGTTTGCCTCTTATCTGGCTGACACGTTTCAGTGTTCAAGGTAGACGAGGTGAGACTATCTCGCAAGTCATTGAGGTTATCTCGGCTGTCCGGAGCTTGACCGTTGGCCCTTCACTGCTCCTTATCTTTACTAATGATTTACCTTCAGGTTGTTTGGCGTTCTGTATCTCTTCTCAGTATCGCAAAATCGACTTTTTCTGCGCTGAATAGAATCGGCTCACATTTTTTTTCTGAATAGCTTATTGAACGAATATAATGGAACAGCAATGCCAAAATTTTCACTTGATGATATGTGTTCATTTTAGAGAACATAATTTTGTTTTGCCTATTCTTGTTTTATGCAGTCGAACTGTTATGAATGAAAAGAACACCGAAAGGCGAAATCGATGTATTTTCATCGAGATTCTTTGGACGACAGAAAGGAGGGAAGCGGATAAGGCGGTTTTGTGGCCTCAATTTTTTTCGAATAAAAATTACATGGTTGAAATCAGCATCAAATTCTGAACAAAACTGTCGCTTGAGATTTTCAAAAAACTCACTTTCATTTTTTTCAAAAATTGTAAGGCTGAGGTCCCCCTTTGCAACAGCGAAAATTTTTTTTTCTTGAAAGTGGTTACGTGATACATCACTAGACGCAGAATTTAACGCTAATAACGAATATGCGGTCAAAATCTGGGAAAAACTTGTCCTTGACCGAGAAAACCGCCATCTATCGAAAAGTGGCCAAAATGACTCACCTTCGTTTTTTCTAGATTAAATGCTCGGGCAAGCAACAACAAACCTCGAAACA